TTAAAAATATACATATTCAAACAATGTGTAAAATAATGTATTTTTCCATTCTTAAGAAGTGCCGAATTTTCTAAACAGGGATATATATATATATCTTCGCAGAATATGTATTTCGAAAAAGTCAGAAAAGCGTATCTGTAAATCGAAATGCAAGAAGTACACGATCATTGAAGTGCCTACAAGTTACGAAATACACGATCTAGTAACCAGTATACTAAGCATCAAGCGTGTCCAAACAAATTCTAAAATATGTTTCTCTGACTGACAACGTTGACCATCAATATATGCCACGTAAAGCACAACCATGCTGTTTCTAATGGAAACCATACCCGTTCACTTGGCAAGGACTGATGACGAAGCCACCAATTTGCATGTTTTATTTGAGATAAAATAAGCAAGCTAATCAATGTAGACATGTTTTCGCTCATCTCCGCACACATATGTCACAAATATTCAACTGAAACTTTTTTTTGCAGCTTGGCAGTGTTTATAGCTGATTCATATGTATGAAACATAGTTGGATTGCGTGTCAAAATCGTTACTGAATTTTTAAAATTATTTACCAACAAAAATTGCAATTCGAAATTTGTCCACCAGGTTTGTAACAGAACTGACGTAAAGAAAAGTTTTGCTCGCTGTATGGACACGTATGTCTTGTGTAATGTACTGGCACCCGAAGAGGATATTTCATGCTTAATATAAACAAGCAGTATAGAGTCGTTTTAGAAATTTGCCACATCTGTTCCAAATTTTTGTTTCATTTCGAAATTTGCGCGCTCTTTTAAATTAGAAAAAAAAAACGTATCAATTAAATAAAACGACATTAAAAAAAAATCCTGGAAACCGGGTGTATCTTTCGTAGGAATTAAAACTATATTTTATTCAACATACATACTGAGAATGAACGCAAGTCAAAATATTACTGGTTAACATTTAATAAAACACTAACAAAACAAGAACTGAGTATCTTTTCCGGCTAATGTAGCAAATTAAGCAATTACAATAAAAGTTAAAAACCACTTGTTTGTTTGTCTTAGAGCAAAGTCATATTGGGATGTCTGCTATGTCCACTGCGGGAAATCAAAGCCGGCTTTTAGCGTTGTAAGTCCGTAAACTTACCACTGTCCCACCGGGGACAAAATTAACGTTGGTACGTACCGGTGATTAGAAAACTTACATTTGCTGTGAAAAACTACTTCATCTTGAAGAATGTATTTGTTTGTTGTGAAGCGCAAAGCTACACAATGAGCTACACGTGTTGTGTCTGCCGCGAACCAATTTGTAAACGTTATAAGCCTTCAGACTTTCCGCTGAGCCACGGAGGGGGGGGGGGACTTGTTTGTTTGTTTTTGAATTTTGCGCAAAGCTACACCAGGGCTATCAGCGCTAGCCGTCCCTAATTTAGCGGTGTAAGACTAGAGGGAAGGCAGCTAGCCATCAGCACCCACCGCCAACTCTTGTACTACTCTTTTACCAACGAGTAGTGCGATTGACCGTCACATTATAACGCCCCCACGGCTGAAAGGGCGAGCATGTTTGGCGGGATGGGGATTCGAACCCGCGACCCTCAGATTGCGAGTCGAGCGCCCGGGGGAGAGTGAGAAGTAAAGACGAAAACTTATTAAAATTTATTATTATTATTATATGGTAAAGTTTGACATACCTGATAACTGGGTATCCAAAATAAATAATGCGTAAATAAGATATTGCTCGATATTCTGTATAAATAAAACTTGTGTAATCAATGAAATAGTGCCTACAATACTACATTATTTTCTATGTAATTCAAATATTGTAGATCTGACATGGAAGGCAGTGGTCTATCACGTGGTTCAGTGATAGAATATAATACCAGATTAAAATAAACAACACAGAAAGTCAAAATATAGTTATTTCTTACTCTTATCGTATATAACTGAAATATTATTATACATAAAAACTAGCGCTACTACAAAGTATAATTTCATTTTTTAAGACTTTCTCGAGACTTTGGAACTCAAATCAGATCGGATTAGACTGTCGTCTCTGATATGACGCGCACACACATGTGATAAATGAAAAGTAAAACAATCCAATTCTTTATGAAAAAAACAACAAGACAGCGAAGTCAATCACGAGAGATTATCAACGTATTAAAAATGTGTGCTTCTCATAAAAACTATATGTCGAAAGCCTTCAATTTTCATTGTAATGAAGCATTGAAATTTTAATCTTGCTAATGAGTTCAGTGGCTAAAGATTACATAGATTATTATTTTGTACTTAAAAATTATTCTTAAACTTAGATTTGAAGTAGAGTAATGATTGCATTGAAAATTAATCCATAGAGCCAATTTGCATTTGTTATTCGAGTTAATGAGGACTTTGAGAAAAATATAAAGAGAAAGGATATTGTCGTAGACTGTTTTTTAACTTGGACGTTTCAAAGTTTAGGAAATGATTTGAAATTAATAAATGATAAAAACGTGAGAGTATGTTGTTGAGATTGTTGAATGATTATTGGATCAGCCAGTTAATAAGCTCATCATTGTAAATTCTAAGTTTGTGTTTTAAACGAAGCATTAAAGATACGAAAAGAACCATGCGTGCAAGAAAATTAGTAGGTAAGTGACCTTTAGCGTTATTTATTAAGATAGGCCTGTAGTTTGTTACGTGGAGCACATACAGTTTGATGTTGTAGAATTTGTAGTTCAAGAAATAAAACGCTTTCATTATCATTAACTGTACTGATCTCCGCATTTTTCTTTTTACTAAATAATCCAAAACGAACTTTCTAAGCAATATAAACCAGTACAACAGTATTCTCCTTCTGAATGGAGCTTTATACACACAAAATAAAAATTACCATGTCAGAAAACACAATAATTCATTCCCTAAGTTGACTAGAGAGGACGCAGTGAGTAGTACTAGTCGCCACAAGAGCTCATCTGGCTACATGAATCAAATGACAGGACCGACTGTCACTTTTATAACACACCAACAGCTGAAAGTGTGTAGAGTGTTAGTGACATGTGTTATCGAACCCTGAACTCTATGATTTACAGCCAGACTATCTAATACTAGGCCACGCCCGGCCTCAAATAAACAGAAATAGTGCTATGTAATAACAAAAAGCCATTATTTAAGATATATGCTGCTTACTCTCGTTGGATATATGTAGAGAGGAAAATATAAAATGAGTAGGTTGGGGAAAATTAACATGATCAATTCTTCAATAAAGTAAAACCGTGTACATTCATACCAGCTAAACGACAGAGGGGAACACTCTAGAAATGAATTAATTGATGTGCAAGCAGTCGAGTACTGGTTACGACATAGTCACCTTCATTGGCAGACTAAATCCGCTCATTTTCTAATTCGTTCTTTTATCACCCCCAAAAAAATCCATTTGCAATGAATACATCTAGGAGAGATCATTAACGTCAGTAAGCCTGAAATGTATACGCATCCTTACTGCTCATTTTTTCTATCGTCATTTAATTACAAATCTTAATTACAATCGCTATATCATGGTTAATGACCGTAGCACGAAAAGTGACAGAAGACTTAAAAAATATCATTTACTCCTTAATTAAGACTCCTTTTATTTGCAACTACTCTTAAAAGGTTAGATTCATGGTTTTTAATTTCAACATATTCAGCTCCGCAAGTATAACAGTATTCATAATAACAATATTATAGACTAGCTACCAATACTTCGTAAGAAACTCCAAATTTATATATTTCCATTATTTTTGGAAATTCGGAAATGAAGTATTTAAGAAATTAAAACAGTGTACATTAAAATACACTAAAAACACCAAAAAGTCGCAATTTTGTAAATGCTGATACCTCCGAAGAAGGTTTTATAATAATATAGATAAGAACCACGATGATAAAATTTTAATGTTTTTCGAAAATATGAAACAAAAAAAAAACGAAAGCAACCAAGAGTTTGGGACTTAAGTTTTTAAAATCTCACAATTTCATCATGATAAAATTAAAATTCCTTCATGTGTTTTCAATAATACTTTTACAGAGTCTAAGCTGAAGTATAAATAATACTAATAAAACATTAAAGAGAACTATTAAATACTATATTTGAAGTGTGATAATGTGTTTTATAAGCTGCGACTCTATTAGGTTTGACTTTATGAAATTCAATTATTTAAAGGTATTGGGAACACACAAACAAATGTCAGGAAATAATAGAGAAACAAAACTGGAAATAATGGAGAAACAAAACAGGAAATAATGGAGAAACAAGACAAGAAATAATGAAGAAACAAGACACAATTGTCAAAGAATACATTTATTGTTATGATTAAAAATTTGTCCCTCAGCGGCTCAGCAGTAAGTCTGAAGGCTTATAACGCTAAACACTGGGTTCGATACCCGTGGTGGGCACATCACAGATAGCCCATAATGTAGCTCTGTGCTTAACTGCAAACAAACAAGACAAATTTGTGAAAATTCTAAATGTTTATACCTCGATTTTCGAAGTATTAAAAGCTCACTTTGCTTTAGGCGAGAAAAAAGTGTATGTATGTTTTTTCATAGCAAAGCCAAATCGGGCTATCTGCTGTGTCCACCGAGGAGAATCGAACCCCTGATGCTAGCGTTGTAAATACAAAGACTTAGTGGTGTTCCACAGGGGGACAAAAAAGTAAAATAATCCATATTAACTCCTTTCTAAGGTGTATACGTTCGATATATAAAACAAGAGAGAAAATAATAAGATGTCAACTACCATTGCTACTTTGGAATAGTGAGCATAAAAGCATTGTTTCAATGTACACAAACTGCAAATATAACGAACCGTTTTTCCTATAAATAATGAATCCATTTCTATGTTACTAAGGGCGTAAAATACCCACATATATATTTTTTTGCACCTAGGTTATTAAAATAAACAGTGTAGCATTTCATTCATTAACAGCAGAAATTATGTTATATTTGTTCCTTAGTTTTATAGAACTAGATGTCTATACTGCGAAATCATAAATTTAGTTTGGGACTTACTAATGCCAAGAAAGATGTCTTATTGATCTCAGAACGTTCGTTTCTCGCTTCATTTTTCTCGTCTGCTACGGTAGTTTCGGCCATGTTTGGATTTTCCTGAACCATGGATGATATTTCAACAGCTTTACAGTTCACGGGCTCATAATGCATTTTCAAATGACACACCGAATTAAGGTTTGTGTGTGTCGGTGGCTTTGAATTTATAGGGCAAGTACCGGAAGAAAGTCCTAACACATTTGGCACAGAGTAGCAATTTTGCTGGGCCATAGAATTTTCATGAGCGTTATCATGCACTGACTTCCCTTTCTCGTGAGATGAAATTTTGTTTCCATTTTGCAAAAGTTGTCTTTGGGCTGATTTTGATGTATTATTATCAAAAGCCTCACTAAACGGACTCAGCACATTAGTCGACATTGTTTCAAAAGCTTGCAATGAGTTTGGAGAAACGCTGGTACCGATCAATTGCAATTGCTTATCATTAGCATTAAGTGTGTTTTTGTTGGGAAGGTTTGAAAATGGTAGCTCCTGTTGCGTTGTTTTCAGCTTTGTAGAAAATAAAGATTTTTGTCGTTGATAGAATGACAAAACAGCTTGTTTCTGGACCGCTTTCAGTTCAAGATCTGACATTTGGCGTGTTTTATCCGGATCTAAGTAAGACATTCGGATCCCAAGAGTGTTAGAAGCCAGTGTTTGATCATTTGAAATCAAATCTCTCTGATTCTCTGTCTTTACGAAAGTATTTGGTGCAACAATATTTCTTTTAACAAATTCACTTTTCATTGCCTTTTTACTTTCATTTAGTGGCGATACTATGGTTTGATGACATATCTTAGATTTTTCATTTTTATCATTACCAGGACCACTGGGTGGTTCTTTCGGAACCTTAACCCCTTTACAAAAATCATAGGGTTGTTTATTAAGAATAATGTCTCCAGAAAGAGAAGTGTTTGGGTTAGTTAACTGTTGTGTTTTACTATTCGTGTAATTGTTCGCTCTTTGTTTGAAGTAGTGTTGTTGGTCAAGGTCATTAGCGTTTAGAGAATTTTTGTGGTCCTTAGTCTTTTCCTTTTGAGAGATTTGTAGATTTTTGGTGATTCTATCATAGATTTGTTTCGTATCCGGAGTATAGTATACAACACTCTGAGAATCATGGCGGACTGGTGGTTGAATCCTGGAACTGTGAGCAATGTTTTCTCGATTCATCCAGTTTTCTGCTACTAAACAAGCTTTAAATCCATTTTCGAGAGATGTATTTGTGAAATTACTTCCACAAGAAGACTGTGGAGAAAAACGTCCACTGTCCGGTAATGTCGATAAACCGCTATCAAATAGTGAAGACCGCTTGGATATCTGCATACTCAAGGAACTTAAGTCGCTGTAAGAACTATGGCACTTTTCTTGATTGACATAATTTTGAATGCTGTCCATAAAAGTGTTAGTTTTATTTGACACTTCAATAATTTTATGTTTTCTTTTCGCAATCCACGAAGAATCACAACATTCAAGGCGCGATTTAGTTAAAAACGAAGTTACATTTTCAGAACGTTCCTGTTTTAATAAGCTCATTCCACGTTCTGAAGGTGATCCGTCCCACGACGAAAGACTGCCGTAAGCTGAAGATTGGGATGGTGGGTAATCACCGGAATATTTCAAAAACTCGTGGTACTTTTTCCAGTTTGCCTCTATGTTGGGATCTTGTAATATGTACTCTGGTTTGCCATATTCGGGCAAAGTTTGGATGATATTACTTTCCTTTAACTTTGAAATATATGCTGGACTTTTGTCAACCTGAGACGTTTGTACTCTTTCAGAACTATACGGATTCAACGTCTGCTGCACAGATGGAGGAGGGGGTGTGGGCTCGTATCCTAAGCCTATCACATTCTTTTTGTTCGAACCTTGTATACTTCTTTCTAAGACTGGTGTAGGATGGTTATTCGATACTATGAAGGGTTTTTTGGGTTGAGAATAGCCGATCCGAGCTTTAGGATAATCTGGTTGGTCAGTCCAAGAGTGGGATCTATAGTTGGCTGCTGACACCGGTTGAGCTATTTTAGAACCTACCCATGTTGCTGCTGGCCAAGAAGGGCATTTTTCGTGTACGATGCTATGGGTTACATATTTAACATCTGATTTTAGGGAAGCAGTTGTAATTTCTTTTCGTGGTAAAGTTGATTGGTGAGGTACAATCTCCACAAATTCTTTTTTTTCTTTTGTCGCGCTTTCAAATGTTTGCATAATGCTTTCATCACCGTTTGATTCTGTTCTCTGACTTTGCCAAACACTAGCTACATTTGGTGAAAAAGTTATTACTGTACTGGTAAAACTGTTGGGATGATTACTGAACTCCTTTTTATTAGTAGTATCTAAAGATTCATGAAAATCTTCAAGTGGATGAATTTCTGACACTTTAGTAGTATCTTCAGGTTCATCTTCTCCCTCCTTTTTTTCACATCCGGATCTCTCCTGAACAACAGGTGAAAAATTGGTACCATTTTTCGATTCAAATTCTTCACACACAGACTTTGTATTCAACCTGCGTGTAACCATGTTGTTGTCTTCAATATTATGGGTAAAATTACAACATAAAGGTCTTTCTGGTTGTGGAATATTGGAAAGATCAACACTCCCTAAATCAAGAAAAAAAGTAACAGTGGTTTGGCTACTTGGTGGCAAAGGATAAACCATTCGAGTTGAAGCTGCATTCAACGATTCAGAAGTGGAAAGGCGATGACCTCTTTGTGGCTGTGGTTGAGAAGATGTAGTCAAAAGATTGAATGGTTTGGTTGACATCAACTGGTCTCGTGGTTGTTGAATATACTGTGATTCGCACGGAATGCTGTAAAATATAAATCAAACAACCTTTTATAATTAAAACGTTTGAAAATCCTAAAACAAACTTAATTTCCAAGACAAAGAATAACACACCTCAAATATAAGCTTCAAGATTTAAAACATTTCATCCTTATTGATTACTCCATTCAGCAATCTTCTTTGAATAAGCAGACCAACCCTACTCTAGCCTATTTACTTCTGTCAAGTCTACTCATTTAGCTCACAAATTTAAATTGTTCTACTCAAAACTAAACTGTACCCCTACAGATGCCTGCCTTACCATCATCATTGGGAAATAAGAGAAACACTTTGATCGGATCCCTTAATCTTTTGGGGAAGTTCTACTATCCTATTTTGTTATCACGGTGCATTGCTGCAACCAAGATTTATTATCTCCAAGTGGAAGTGCATCGCTAAGTCTTTATATGTAATTTTTGTTTGGTATAGCTTCAGTTATACAAGTATCTATTTATATGTATACGATATCTCAATATTCCTTTATCCAGATGTAATATATTTTGCCAGGATTTGTCACGTACCATTACACTGGTAGGTACAAGTATGCCTTTTTTATCTATCCAGTAGGAAATACAAATATTTTGTTATCATTCTTGTCTGAAAATCATCACCAATGTAAATCGTGTAAAATAACAAAAATGAAATAAACTAAAAAAAGAAACATAGGTGAGAAAAATTAGTACTAAAACCGTCACTTATAAAGCTAATGCTACATTCATATATCACAACTACATATCTGTGATAATTATTTTTATATGTGTCTATATATATATATATCACTACAACTGCTTAAAACACGAACAAATGACGAAACGGTAAAACGAATCAGTATTTTTTAAACCAAATTAGCGATGCTTAATTTCCTACATGAACATCACGAACAAGTTTGAAAGAATATAGCCAAGCTCTTTAAGCTTTATAGTGTGACAAAAAAATCTCTATCAATTGACAAAATCGAATGCTAATTTGTTGTCATGGTTAAAGATGTGATATAAAAATATTATGAATTCTACATAATTTAAAGAAGCTTCTGGGAAATTACTAAAATACACCACTATTTTATACAAAAATTTAGACACTGTGAGATAATAACACGCAAGCGTGTAATTTATTTATTATACAAGAAAACAATATAATATACATATAACAATATACCATCCGATGCTTATTTGCTCCGCACACCACGTGACTGAATACACGAACTGTATTATCCCGCGGAGAAATTACAATGACTTTTATATACATATAAAAAAAAGTGCAACGCTTTCATACAGAATGCATGAAACTTGGTTAACTCTATAGCGTGGGATGATTCTAATTTCCATAGGCTAACGTAATATTACGCATTTAGTGCATTTATTCGTGAACATTGTACCATAAAAATGACTTTTTTCTAGCATAACATAAATGAACACACGATCTCATCTTCATACCCTAAGGAAAAAAAGTAATTACTTCACCTCACTGACGATGATTGAAAAGATAACCCATTCACAGTATTCAGATATGAAAGCGAAAAGTAAAAAAAAGAAAAAAAGATGATGATAACACGTACATACATCTGGAGCTAACTAACTATATACTTACATTTCTTTCTGATTCACTCTTTACAAATTAACCAATGCTTTACAAATTAAACAATCTATCAAAGAATAAAATATCTAATTTTGTCCGTTTTCTTTTTCTTACTTTAAAGAACAAGCAAAATACGAATACAGTAATTGATAAGCTTAGATGAGAAACTCTCAAAGTGCATGAATAGGTAATATTCAGACAAAATAACTGTCATCACAGTGAACTAAAACATTTTATAGATCAGAAGAATGAATCATTTCAATTTCACCGTTTTCACTCCCCGCCTAAGTTCTTTCTATGAACATATATATAAAGTTTCAAATAGCTCCAATAAAAAGAATTCTCTGGATCGAATTTTCTATTTCGTACTCATGACACTGAAATAAGGGATATATTTTATTTAAAACATTTATAATTCCTCCAATTATTTTGTATATAGTGTCCCAAATTGATTTTTGTAAGAGCCGTTTACAAGGATGTTATTAATGTGAACTATTCTAAGATTGTTTTTACACACGTAAACGTTATCTGCGATAACCAGACTTACTACAAAAATATCTGATCTTTTTGTTATAAAACAAGATTTTGTCGTTTAAACCAAGTTCAGTATAGTGAACAAAAGGCTGCCTTAAAAGAACACGAAATATTTTAAAGTCTAAAGAGTAATGACTTCTCAAATGGTTTACACGAAATATTTTAAAGTCTAAAGAGTAATGACTTCTCAAATGGTTTGATTAACGAATTGATATAAGCAATCGTTATGCAAAACAATTATCAAAACTGTAAAATTTGTATACAGACTAAAGACAAAGGGTAAACTTGCTGCAAACATGAAAAATCTGAATAAAACACGACTAATTAAATATTTTTCCATCTCAATTGTTTGTTCAATTCCTTAGTATACACAGAAAGTTAATCGCTTATCATTTGAAAGATTTGTATATGGTACGAGTCATGGTGCCACAAGAGAAATGTCTAGCTTCTATATTTTGGCTCAAGATGAATTCCAGACCATTCTAGGTAAAGGCGCCATATTAGCCTTTGCGGCTAGAGGAATATAAAAGTCTATTTGAAAAGGGATATCCACAATGTGATATTATTAATTAAACGATGTAGAACGAAAGA